CTTTTTAGCACGTAGCTATTTATTATTAGCATTATTCTTCCGACGTCTGATTTCTTTTTAATTATAGGAAATGCGTTTTTCTAAGGTACATAAACTTTTGGGATTGATTATAGCCAATACATCCTTAAGTTGTTCTTTCTGAATTTCCTTTTTATCTCTCGAATCGATCGACGCAAAAATTTTCAGAGAAAGTACGACGCCGTCATTTTTGCACGGTTAACGTAGGATATATGTATATTAGGAGACTCGAGTAAAAGTTTTCGGTTTAAATTGCAATTCCCCGGCGGTGCAAAGATTTGCTCAAGGGCGAGAAACTTATTACCATAAAAATTGTTGGCCCCATCTTTTCCTCGAATATTTCCGCGAGACACGGAGAGTAGGTGAACATTCGAACCGAAGTTAATCTTATTCTTGCACATTTTCATTTTACAGGTGTGCGATTGCTTGGGTATTAGCAAGGAGTGCGACTATTTCGGACTCAAGTATCAGAACGCGAAAGGCGAGGAATTGTGGTTGAACCTGAGGAATCCTATAGAGAGGCAAACGGGTGGCGGCGTGGCGCCTCTGCGATTCGCGTTGAGGGTTAAGTTCTGGGTACCGCCTCACCTGTTGCTGCAAGAAGCCACCAGGTAAAAACGAGCGTCCTTCTCTCGATATTCTTAAAAGCGTCTACGCTAGGAAACGGGGATCTCTGCGCGTTATGCAGGCTGCCGATCCCCCGTGCACCACCGTATATTGGCTGGGTTCCGGGCGAAGCTGTCGATATCGCGAAAGTTTGCTAGGTATTCGCGGATCCTGGCAAAGCTTCGAAAGCTCTTGCTGTAACTTGGACGAGCGTCTCGCGCCGCTTACCCTCGAAAGGAGTTGAATCCGAAATTCGAAGGAGTCGAGGATGTTGCCTGCAGTTCGAGCGCAGTCTGCATAAGCTTCGCGATTTCCAGGCCGTACGGGTGTCGGCCCTCGAAACTCGGTCGGGAAACTTACGGGAAGCGCGGTTTCTCTGTCCTCTAGATATCGAAACGGTTTAATCGATCGCGATTCGACTTTAATGACTGCGGTTTCCATCGACGCTTTTAGTAACGAACAATCGAGGAAGCGGAAGAGGAGACGAATTTTCGCGTAGTCGTTAACGTCGAGTTCACCTGCAAGTTCCGAACGTTCGACCGGAACCAATATCTTATCGATAACAAATGTCGCCCGCTGTGCTACGCTCGTCTCTCTGTCCCGACTACGAGTCCCATCGAACTTTCCGGTCAGCGATAAGTTCTGTCTGGTGAGAACGATTCTTCTATCTGAGAGCTGGGAACATTTCTACAATTTTTCAGACGGAAATCTGTACTCACTATCGCTGAACACTACTGCGACATTTAACGCGCGCGCGTACCCTAAAAATCATACAACCGCGAACAATAATTGTCGATCCGTTTGTGAGTTCGTCAGTTTTCTCTAAGGGGACATGAACCCGAAATATTAATAATATAAGTATTTTTCACGAATCTTCTCTCAAAGAGTATTGCATGTAACGGTAGAAACTTTTTTTCCTCATTTCTTGGGACGGGTCAAGAATCATTATCCTAAACGTTTCGTTTCTCGAGCGTTTTTTCATATCGCAACGCGACGATAGAAACGAAACAGATCGCCGAAGTCGACGACTGATGATACGTACGTTTGATCGCAGACATCAGTTCTACTTGCATTCTCGCCTGGAACTGTTCGAGGGTAGATTGAAAGTATCGGATTGGAGTTCTGTGGCGCGTTTGATCGCTTTGATAGCGCAAGCCGATGCTGGTGATTACGATGCGCTATCACCACCGCACGTACTCTACTCCCAGTGCTGTCAGATACAACCGACGACGGAGCCGTGCGAACCGAAACCCCAAGATTTCCTTCATCGAATAGTTCAACAGCACAAGGAGATCAAGGTTCGCGATTTCTCCCACTTTCAACCAAAGCTTGCAGATTTTTCAGTCGCTCTATTAAGAATCGACGATTGAATTTCTCTAACGATAAGTCTCAATCGACAATTGGAGTATTCTTTAATTAACACGAGAACTACCGGCTTTTTCGATGTACGCGTTTCTCCATTCAAAACCAACCAGTTTGAATGGTCTGGTAATTCTAGTGTTAATTAAAACTCAATTGCCAATCGGTGTTCAATTGAATTAACCCCTTGAACTGGAATTTATTTTCAGTCTGCACTGCTCAGGCAGACAATTTGATTTTCTTAGTTTCAAGAGGAGAGGGGGATTCATATAAAAACTTACAGCTTTGCTGCTCAGTATGTTGCGTCGTCCATTTGCTTTACCGCGATAGCTGGCTACATAAATTTATGCAAACTAAATTCAAACTCTTGCACTCTAGAAGCATGCAAACAACTGTATTAAAGCGATAGACTTACTACGACTTATTTCTCTGAAAAAAAGCTTAAAGTCTCAATTTCGGGCGAGTGCAGCTCGTTATTGTTACTTTACTCAAGAAGATTCATGACGAACCGGTCATTTCAATTCAAAGGGCTTATCTGCAATTCTGTTTACAAGCTTCCGTAGGCTAAATCGAAACTGATGTTTCATCACCTGTACCTTTTCCTTTTCGTTCAGGGGATGAAACCGTCTACCGCCGAGTACTGGCTACTAAAGGAGATATCCAATCTGGATACTTTCGGCCAGGAGATGTTCCACAGTAAATTTGGTTACAACGGAGTGTCGATGATTGGTGTCGGGCCACATGGTATCACGGTTTATCGCAGTCACGACGAGGAAATGCAAAAGTACGTCGATACCTACGTGTCGATTGTTCGGTCAGGAATTTTTTTTTTTGTACGAGATCGATAACGTCCTCTTTGTTTTTCACAGTATACCTTACACGGCGATACAAAGCGCAACGTCCCAGCGTCGAATGTTTCATTTGGTTTACCTATCTCTCGACGGCGGGGAGACTTCGTTGAATTTTAAATTAGACTCGAGCCAATCGGCCAGCGGACTTTACCGGGCGATCACCGAGAAGCACGCGTTTTACAGCTGCGAGACCGTCAGGAGCGCTGTAACCGCCCAATTTATACGGGACTTGAAGGTAATCGGCTACTACATGTTTTAAGCATTCGTTATTGTTTTATTTCGATCCCTATTTGATCACAGCTTACTTCTTTTCTTATTATCTCAAGTTTTCTGTTTCCTTCGTATATATTTTAAAGGGCTTGGGCTCGTTAGTATTATACTTGTAGCCAGTACTGGTACTTTAGTTTAGTATCTTAAATAATAATTACAAAAAAATGTTAAATGATAATGTAATAATAATAATAATACTCCGTTTCGTTTACACAGACGGAACGTCACTTAATCTGATCCACCCTCTGTCCACAGGGTACCATAATTTCGATCTTTAACGAGGACTCGACGCTGGGGAAGAAATACGTGTTCGACATTCGCAGGACGTGTCGGGAGGTGTACGACAACGCAAGACGAGCTCTCTACTGCGAGGCCGCGACCGTTAATCTGCCAGAGGAGAAGGAAATTTTGGAGAAGCACGACTGCGGGGACTGCGAGGATCCCAAGTGCAAGGTATTCCAGCGAATTACCGTGTACCGACACGGCGAGCCGATGAGCAAGCTGAACAACTGTTTCGGAACGTTTAACTTGCAGGAATCTCGGGAATGCCTGGCGAGATTATTGGACGCGATGCTGTGTCGCATTTGCATGGATCGCAGTTTGGACACAGCCTTGTTCCCGTGCGGACACGCGGTCGCCTGCTTGGATTGCGCCAGACGATGCGAACGCTGTCCGCTCTGCCGGGCCGACATCGACCATTGTCGAACGATATATCTCCCGATCGAGTTAACGCACGTCGACAAGCACAACCCGAAATTGCTCTCGGAATCCATCGAGCCTGGCTACGGGAACAACGGATCGTCGATGGAAGAGATACAGAAGAGGAGTTTAGCGTCCGACGGCTCCGCGATGGACGGTAATAGTATTTGAGAACGTCGACGAGGCAGGCTAGACGTCTTTCAAACATTTTTATTTCGAATCTTGGCTCGTCGTCGGACCGAGAAAACGCGTTGAGTTTCGCTTTCTCTTTCGCGCTCGGTCTTGTCATATTTTTTTACAACGTATTTTGACGAGAACCTGGAGGGTATGTAGTTAAACTGTCTCGACACGTAACGAGCGATTATTTTCTACGACGTTTAGCGCGTCCCAGCAGAAGTGGATGAGTGGACTTTTTTTGTAATTTTTCATTTTCAGTTTTAAATATTGAAAGAAACTTGGACGATTGGTCGTTATAGAAAAATGCAAAATCGTTGTCTTGACTTTCGCCTGTTTCCAAATTACTATCTCTCTGTCTATGTATTCGCGGTAACGTTATGATACCAATTGTTGTTGTTGTTATTATTACTCGATCGAACGATAATCGCTACATGGTTAATTGGGCAACCAAAAAGTGCTATTAGCAGCATTGATCATCGAAAAGCAGTGCTGCCATTATTTTCGACGAAGAGTAGTACACACATTTGACCCTCCTTTTGGCGGTGAAAACGTACCGAGTAAAAGAGAATCGTGTAAAAAAGAAGAAAAAAATGTAAAAGGAGGGTCAGATGTAATTTTTATCGACGCGCACATTTTTCGTTCTTTCATTTTTATTGACGCTACGTTGTTGTTTTATTCGATATCGTTCAAAATACTTCCCGATATTTTTGTTCCTCCTAGATAGATATCCCTTTTTTCTTCTTCTTCTTTCGTACGTATCTGCTTTCGTTTAGATACGCCGCCGGGAGCTGGGGAGAACAGTTTTATTAAAACCAGTGACCCTTCGTATCCTTAATATCGTATACGTTGTTACGCATATGCGGTCTCGTCTACGAATGGACTGCTATAACGCTTCACCTCGTAACGGACGTTTCCTTTAAGGGAAATAAGAATCTCGTACGATCGATGTTCGCGACGTTCGCACGATTTCTACGTATTGTCGTTTTTCAAATAGATATAGGCAAACCGGGAGGCTCGTCTCCTGAAACGTCCTATACGAGGTGGGAACCTTGTTACGGTAATATCTGTTTATATGTACATAAGAAACGAGATAACCCGCGATAGGGTCAAACGAGTAAAAGTCACGAGTTCACCAAATGTCAAATCCGATTTAATAAAGTCGGTGTGAATACCATCTTACGAGTACGGGAGTTGCGCTGAAACAAACGCGTATGTTGATCGAGCAGTGATAGTTCGTTTCCTGGGGGGAGCGGACGAAAAAAGGCTGTTTCTGAATAAAAAAAAAATGATGGCGCGAACGTTGGTTGTCGACGTGCGCGAATATTAACGGAATGTATTATTTATTATTCTATTTCTCGCGAAAAGGAAAGATATCGATCGTTTGCCTCGACCACGATCGGCGGCGCAGCTTTCATCGTTACCATTGTCGAAATGTGGGTAGCGTTTTGTGAATGTTGTATGCGTGTCGACGAAAAAAAGGAATGCTAGAAAGAATGAGAGGCAAACAAACCGTTGTAGTCATTTATCAATGCAAATCAGATCTAGTTTATAATTATTTATAAGGAGAAAAAAATATATAACGCCGTTTTCGATGCACGCTGTATTACGTCTTTGATAACGTCGACGACATTTCTCGTCGATTCAGCGTGCACTATTTTCTTTCCCGACGCTATTAGCGCTTTGTAACTCCGATCTACGTTTCCCTTGATTCGTTTTAGTATTTTTGTACCTTACTGTTAAGGAAGCGGTGATTACGTTGCTCCTTCGATTCGAATTCGGAGGGTTCTTTAGAGAATGAAGCGACGGATGCGCGCATGGACAACTTCCGCGCGTTTCAAACGCGAGCGCAGTCGAAAAACGTTTTCTAAATCGTAACAGTCGTCGGTCTTCGGGAAGAAACGAATTTGTATCACGGTTATGCGTTTACTCGATACATATGTACGTAAGTTTAATGATAAACGATGTCGATAACGTCGTTATGTAATAAAAACGTAAACCACAAATTTTTGTGATTAAATCTCTGTATAAATGCGACGAGAAAAAGAAAATTTGAAATCATAGTAATTGTCGGATTTGTATGGTAGAAAAGGAAGATATCGATGATGAGGATGGATTTTTAAGAATTATCATTTGCAAAGAGTATTTTTAAAGTATTTCCAATTATTTTTTAGTATTGTATCAGGATCCCACTTGAACAGTGGCGTGTATACATATGAGACCGACACGATCTATGAAGAATAACAATTTTTAGCATTACGATGTACAATGTCCCAAACCTGTTGATTAAAAATACTATGAAACATTAATCATCGCGTATAATTTATTCCCATTTATCCGGTGCCTGTTCCCTACACGGCGATATTCTATTCTAAGATATGTTTTCGCAAATATACATAACTAGTATACAAGACGTGTAATTCTCAGCTTGCCATGATTGATCGTGGAAATTTTTTTGTTCCATTTTCAGCTATTTCAATATGTTCAATCGGGCGTATCAGAAATTGTAATTCTGTCTCAATGCATAAGAAGCAGTGTTGCACACATTTTAACGATTTTTCTCAATTCGAGTATTCTTTAACTAAGAATTAAAATTTAACGGATAATTTCAATTGTTAATTAGTCAAAACCGAATCAAGAGCCAAATGTTAATTACTAATTGGTGTCCGATTGACTTAAAGATTTAATCGTTTATTTGTAATAAACAGAAGGTAGGAACAGAACGTACGAATAAATAAAGCACGATAACGATAGTGCAAGGAAACGAACGAAAAAAATTTTAAATTTAGCGCCAGATCGTACCATACGGCAGTGTGGTAGATACCTTCGCGTCCACGCATGCCTTCTGTGTTCTGATTGGTCGACGCAGCGGCATTGTCATATGACGAACCTGCGTGGCATCATGGGAAGCGGATCGCGATTTTGCAACATGGCGGTGAATTGAGCCAAAGTCGCGGTGCTGTGCCATCAGAAAATGTATTTTTCGTAGTCGCGTAATCACTTTTATTATAGTTCTCATGTACGCGGCGGTGTGATACGGGTTCGGGACGTGTTCGACGATACGCTGTGCATGTAAATATGCGTGTAACAAGGCACAACGTTACTCCGAAGGTGACACCCCGCAACTCGGTGCGCTGCACGAGCACGTATGGCAGAGACTAGAATCCGAGATAAGGGAGCTCTGCTTCGCCTAAGTAATACGTACCGCCGTACAAAATTACCACCACGAAGTAGCGATGCGGTGGTTACGTCTCCCGAACTGTGAAAACGTGAGTGTTTTCGTATAAAACAGAAAGTGCCCATACGAAAGTGATCGTGGATGCGTATTTCGGTAGCGAGGAGAGTGCACGGCTGCCTCGTCTCCGATGTCCAACGCACCTTTCCTGCTCCACGTTTCGTCCGATCGTTCCGTCGTGAGAACAAGTATCTCAAACCGCATCGTAGATCAGCCAAATTCCGATTCAAATTCCATTAAACCGGACCCGAATCGTGGAAACCTAGACCCACGAATTTGCCCTATCGCGTAGGATGCCACCATTGCGTTAAATATTTTCGACCCGACGATTCGTATTTTTCTTTCGTTTCTGCCGAAAGTAGTGCCGATTATTCTGTGAAATCTTGGTTTTTCCCGGCAGCCTTGTTCTCGGCATTGAAAAATGCATATTTCGATCGATTCGTTCGTCGAACTGCTTACCTCCGTGCTTCGCTCGTGTTTCATCTTTGTCCGTGCTCGAATTCTGTACGTTTTGTTCGCAATCGTTGCGAACACGAGCCAAACGCGAACAGAAGGCTCAACGCATTTCCAATTTTATTATTCCGATACCGATATCCGAAAAAGTGTTTTATGCTCGGTGTCGGTAAACGTCGATGTAGCAACGCTCCAAAAATACCACATGTTACGGTATTCTAAAAGCATCGCACGTTGCAATGGTTCGCTAACAATAAGAGAGAGTGTACGATGGTTAACGACACATTACGCTTCCTTTTACGCCTTCTGCTTGTAGCTAATAAATTTATTTATTTCGGGAATTCGGTGGAAGTCAGTGGTTAGATAAACGCATGAGAAACCGCATAGACACTTTACGGTCGATTACTGTTGTTTACTCATAATATTTCAAATACTAAATGTAGTGTATACAAGATCACTTCATTCATTTTCCTCGAGCCAAGGAGAATATTCAAGGAAACGCGAGATTCTCTGTGACACGAATTTCTACTTTGTAAATCATTTTGGATAAAGATTCTCTCTTTCTGTTCCTGGTAAACGAAGAACGATGTTACAAGCACGACTGAACAAACCAATTTGCATACAATGTAGTTTTCTGATTTCTCTGAACAATGTTTCGTCCCTGTCCTTTTGAAAATCTTTAGGCGTTTATTAAGAGGCGTCCAAAACCTGTGCACTAATAACAAACGGTACGAGGATCGTAGACTAATGATCGATTTTTCTGCTTTCAGATATTTACAAAATTCAAAACCATTGTCGTTGATCGTTGTCACTTGTGATCGTCGTATATGCGTGCCAAACCGAAATATATAAAAGGGCAGTGAAGAGACCCGATGGTTTCCTGACACGATGGAAAGTAAACTGTACGTGAAAAATGACCTGGGACTGGACGGGCAGTCGCTGGTAAGCTCGCAAGCGAACCTACCTACCGAGGACACAGGAGGAGCCAGAACATGCTTCGTTTGTGCCACGGTGAGCCACGGGGAACAATATTGGCTCCGAGTGAAACCAGGTCCGGGTAGCGCGCCGAACGAGCCTTACTTTCCGTTCCTCGAGTCCCACGAGCCACCCGCCGGTTACCGCGGCGAAGGGGCCAGAACCAGCGGAGTGGTGAAGGCGTGCAGCCTCTGCTACACCCTGTTGCTGCAACAATGGGACACTTACGAACAGGATGCCAGACCTCACAGTCAACGAATATATTGGTTGAAGAGATGCGACGGCCGTCCGTTCACCGGTGCCGATATGGCACTTCAGGGAGAGTACGCCGCTCAAGTTTTAGGCTTGACCAACGACCAAACCTCGCAGTTGAGACCGGAGAATCGGCCGGTGGGAATTTCCCCGCGACTGCCGCCGAATTCGCCGTCGCCCCGGGTCGAACAAGCAAGACCGCCGTCTAATTCCATTGCCGAACTGCCAAGGCCGCATTCAAACACAGCGGAAACGCACAGACACCTGGAACAAGCGAGGCTCACGATGGAATCGCCCCATCAAAGACTGCATTCGCCGCATCAGAGGCTGCAAAGCCCTCGGCAGCCCGTGGAGGATGGGAGAATGTCGACGGAAGCGGCACTGGATTTGCGACACGCTCCCAGGAGTTCGCCAGCGCCGCCGCAACCATCTTTACCGCCGCAACCTCAGCGTAAGTTTGTGAACGTCGCGTAAGCGATCCTCGATCATTTGTGCACTGTTTAGCATACGTCTTACATTTACGTTTGTAAACATTTGGGTGACGCGAGATCGCAGATAAATCGATAAAAAATATGGTTAATTTAAATTGAGATCCCGACCTTCAATACACTTGCTCGTGACTCGTCTGACCTCTTGGAATCATAAATATAGTTTTTGCTATTCCCATGACTTTCGTTTCATCGATAAGCAGAGAAGTTACACAGTACTAATTATAAAATTGCCGCGATTGGTATCGAAGGTACAAAGAACAGCCTTATCGAGAAATAATTGTCGAATCGAAGTGGGTCGCGTGTAACTCGTTGCGATCGCGCGTGTACGATTGATTGGGACGATACGTTGTTAGTGGGTTTAAGTATGTAGTAGTTCGTACATAATTTAGCGGTTACCGATAACTGTTTCTACTGAACGGTTGCAGCCATTTATAGCGGTGGATCGACGTCGAGCGCCGGCACTGATATTTTAGATCTTTCGATGCCAGATAAGAATTCAGTCACCGAAGTCTGTTACGTGTGCGGGGATGAATTCAAAAGAGGGTCACTTAGTCATATCGCAGCGAAACCACTGCCAACTCCGCCGCATCCTTCTGCCAGCCCTCCACCATTCTTTCCCTCGCTGACACTACATCCGAGACCTAGCAGAAGTCGACCGATGGACAGCGCTGGTCGTGTTCAGGTACACATATATTCGAGTATATCGTTAAGGTGACAGCAAGGTTACAACACTGCCTATAATTTGGAAGGTGAACTGCGAATGAATCTTTTGACTTGCATGCGTTGCATCGTGATTCATTTGTTTATATCTTCAAATTACATTTTTTATCTTAAATGGATAACAAGAACGTTTCCATTTACGATTGTAAGCATCAACGTAATTAGGAGAGTACTTTAAACTAAACATTAAAACGAAGTTTGTGTCGATTCTTTGTGAAGTGAGGCATAAACGCATACCTTGCATTATTTTTGCCTGGTTATGGGTACAACATGGGAACAGACGGCGTTAAAAATGTAATATTTAAAATTCTCGAAAAGTCAAGCAACTAGCCCTTTAACGGGTTATTACAGACAGAAAATACATTTGTCGTGCTCGGTTACAGGCCTGTTCGGCGTGTCAGAATCACCTTTTGCTACAATGGAAGGCGTACACCCGGCAAAGAGTTCCACACAACGACCGGAATTACACGCTCCGCAAGCGACAGGCACCCGCGATGGACACGACGACCTTCATCTGTTATACGTGCGCGCTCGAGTACCCATCGTCCAGTATCAGACTCCTTTATTGCTGTCCGAACCCCGAGAAGGAGGCGTACTATCCTTTCATTTATTCTCTGAGACCTCCGCCAGGAGCTAGTCCTATCAGTCCTCAGGGGATGGTGCAGGTCTGCGCCATTTGTTACAAAGCTATACCGCAGAAGCAGCAAGTGTTCGGTGGCGAGAATCACGATTCGTCGCAGTCTTCGGCACAGAACGTGGATTTCCGGCAGCAAGGTCCTTCCCCGAGACCAGCGGTAGCCAAGTCTCCGGCCAACTCCGCTGGTAGCGATATACGTTTCAAACCGTACGATTTGAACAAATCGAGCGTCGCCACGAACAAGCAACGGAGTAGCAGCGCGACTGTATCGAAGGGTTCGACTACCGGTCAACGAAATTCACCGAACAACGGTCCCGCCGAGAACGGGAGCGTTTCTCTCGGCCAAAACTATAGGTGCTATATTTGCGAAAGATTGTATCCTCGCTCTCATATGGAATGGTATGCATTATTGTGAGTCACATTATTTTCTACGTACGCCGATCTACCTCGTCGTTAATCGTTACATTTGTTTCGCACGAAAGGTTATCCACCAGCCCGGAAGGGATGAATTCGCACGCTATGCACTTTCCGTGTTTAAGGGGAATAGCGCGTACCTCCGAAAATGCCTGTATGGATAGTCACGGCAGAGTGTTAGCTTGTAGTCACTGCGTGAATTACCTCGCCCAACAATGGGAAAACATGGATGCGGAACGAGTTCCTTTAGAACGTCGCAGGTTCGATTCATTTTTCTCTTTTCACTCCTTAATCGCTCGCCGTTCTCTCGAACTTGGATCGTTGTTTCTCAGGTATGATATTCCTAGTCCACATCCAAACGGCGACGTGAACCGATCGATCGCCACCCCGCCGAGTTCTGGTTCAGAGCGAACGTTTGGCAGCAATCCGGGGACGTCGAGCAGTTCCATATATTGTTTCCTATGCGGCTTGCACAGCGATTTGACTCTAGCAAGAGTTTTGTACGGTCGTCCTCAGGGTCGCAACGCACCATTTTTCCCAGAGTTACTGCGTCACCAGTCACCACCGAACGCAGAACAACTCAGGGAGGATGGCTCCGCCTTAGTGTGCACGTTCTGTTATCACTCGCTGCTGGCGCAGTGGCGTCGATACGAATCTCTTCCCAGTGGTCAACAAGTGAACGCTGCCGAGAGGCAATATAACACACACGACTATTGGTGTTACGTTTGCGGCATAGCCACTTATAGGAAACGAGTGAGAGCGTTGCTCGTGAAAGACTTCCCGTTTCTGAGGTATCACAAGCAACCGGAGAAGAGTCTCTTGTTGGAGAATGGAGACTTCGCGGTGGTTTGCTTGGACTGTTACGAAACGTTGCGCACTCAAAGCCTCGAGTACGAACGATGGGGTTTGCCCATCGAGAAGCGAGAATACAATTGGATAGTGCAACCACCACCACCGGAAGACAGCCCGGAGGCAGCCGTCGCGAGATTGCCGTCCGGCGAAAGATCCGAGAAGGTGGTGAGTCATTTATTTATAAGACTTATAAACCATCTACCGACTGTTACAAACCATTTACTAATCGTCGTTAAATGACTTCGATTTTATAGGTTCCCTCGACTTTAACGGTGAAACCTGCACGGAAAAACTGTTCTCCGAAAGCACCGGATAAAAAGCTGCCGACCAAGGTTCCGGATAAAGAACAAGGTAAGTGGAACGCTTTTCGGTTTTTTATGATGGAACGGAAAGTATGAACAGAACCAGCGTTAAAAATTCTAAAAATGGAGCAGAAGATAAATACACGATGTTCGCTAGATTTTTACTCTGACATTTTTACATAGACCAACGTGTCTAACAATAAGAATGAATCGCGCAGGCGGTCTATATGATTAAAAATATTCTATTCGTCTGTCAAACGTTTGTCGTACGCCTTGAGGTTATCGGGTCATGTTTGAACGCTGATCGGAGAAACGTGTATCAGACAGACGGGGACGGTGGGATAGCGCGGAGGACAGAGTGAAAGGGTGGAAGACCAGACCAGTAGATTGAGAGCTCTTAAACATTTAACGCGTTAAAGGTTCCCGAAGCTAGAAAGTCTCGGTGCTTTACGTTCTATTTTCTTCGTTTTTCGTCTCGCCTTTTCAATTTAAACGTACGCATATTTTCCTAAGAAACAAAATCCTATCAGAGCGAGCTGTTTTCCAGCTCCGTTAATCTTCGAGACCTCTTCTGCTTTTCTTTTCCCCGTTTTTCCTTCGTCGCACAATGTATGCGCGGTCTTGTATCCAGAGACAAGTTTCTCCGACTTCGCGTCGACGAAAAAGTTCGAGAATGCTTTTTGCTTTCGACTCGCGTTTTTAAATTTCAAAATTCGACGAAAGGATGACCGATAAATTTACGGTACGGGAACTAATTGCCGCGGCGAAGATTACGCGTTCGAGAGAAAACAACGTTTAGGGAGACAAGATCGCCGAGATCGGGAGGTCGATTAAGCTCGGTCGATCCGGCTTAGAGCGAGTACATAGTTGGCGTCGAGGCGTTGGGAGGAACTTAACGCGGGGGTTCCTCTGGACAGGATAGTAGTGCTGCTGCTCGTTCACAGAGAAAGGGGCTGCTAGCGGGGGAAACCGGGAAGGAGGGTACAATGGAGAAATAGGGAAGTAGGGGTCGGAGGAGAAAGAGCAAACGCCCGCAGCGTGACACCGCATTGCGCCCACTTGCCAACCCGGCCGGCACCTAAATTCGAATTAGGAAACCGTCGTTCCTCGGCGACGCGACTCTCCTGTTCCGATGAGCAGTCACGATATCATCGTTTTCTTGTACCTACGTACAGGGACAAGTAAAAGCTACTACTAAAGGACACTACGTAAAAGGGGCGGAGAGGAAACGAAATGAGCAACTTTCTTTCTTCTTCGATCGAACAATTTTAATGGGACCGGTGATCGTTACGTTATTTACGGCAATTTTTATCGACTCGCAACGATATGTATGAATGTCGTCGACTCGTATCGTTTACGATCTTCCACCGTTCTCTTGGCAGGAGAGCGATCAGTGGGAGAGAGACAGAGAGCTCGGTTTTCTTCTTCATTCAGGGATCGATATCAACGTTATCGACTGCTTTTCTCGCTCCTTGTCGCTCGGGATACTACGTTCGCAGCCGCTTACGTATTCTCGGCAGGCGCGCGGCCAAAAAGGCTCGATTTCACAGTGCGTTTCCTACTCGACGAAATCCATGCCAGATTGCCAGGTCTCGATTCGAACGATTTCGGTTTGCTATCTTTCTCTCCTGTCAATCCATCGATATACGTATTGAAACGCGTTCGCTCGCGTTCCTCAAACGCTGCTATCCGGCGCGCAGCCAGCTACGAGCCGGTCTGATTAGTCAGATGCTCGCAGCGATATTTACATTTTCATGGGTCACGGATTAATGCCTGGTCGCTGTATGCGTAATTACGCGCCCTCTTAACGCGGTGTGCTCGCGTATTTCCCCCACGTTGTTGGTTCGCGTAAATAATTAACCACCGGCGGATGCGCGAGGGTAGCTTTTCCCAACGTTCGTGGTCAGCGGCGGTTCGCGTTTCGAGCGATGTTCCACTATACCGGCCGCCCTTTCTTTTACCCACTCGCTTAATGCAAAATTCGCCATCCTTTTCTACGCTGTTTCCCTCGAGGAGGAAACGAATCCGTACACGTGCCGCGCGGTAAATCGTAATCAATGAATCAAGAGGACTAAGCTCGAGAAGAGTGGACGCGCGTAAACTTCGTGGGAAGTTGAGAATTGTCTCGAGCTCGAGAGTCGTATGCGTAGGCGACGTCGTCGCTCGACTTCGATAAAAATAATACGGCTTATTAGCCCCGGGGAGTATCTTCGCAGTGCGACGACGGGTGAACGGTGGGAAAGGGAAGAGAGAGGCAGGCAACGAGAACGGAAACTCGAACGCGGTGGGATCGAAACGAGGGGGTGAGCGGCACGAGCGGCCGCGTTTGTACGTCGGAGATTCGCATGGGGAAACGAGCGAAGGGTAGAAAGAGAAAAGGAGACCCGAGTGCGGAGGGCCGGGCGAGAGAAAAGGGTTGATCGCGGTGTGAGTAGAAAGGGTGGAAGAGGACAGCTAGCCACGAGGGAAGAAGAAGCACGAGCAGGGGAAGTTCCCTGTCGCCGGCACGCATCGATTTTACTCAACAGACAGCCGCCCGTTGGGTTCTCCGACTCTCAGAACTAACCAGTCGCCGTTCTCGCTCTCTCAACTTTCAGCTTCCTGCTTCGTCTCGATTCGTTCGCACTACTTTATCCTGTTTCTGTTTTCTTTCGGTCTTCCCGATCGCGCTTTCTCTCGCACCGCGAATAACAACGAATACAATAACCGAGCGCGTCGTCGTCGTCGTCGTACGCGCGGTACATCGTCCTCCCCTGTTCCCTCCCACGGTTTATGACTGGAAAGCTCGTTTTTCCTCGTCTCTCGTACATCGATAACTTGTTGCTGTCGCGTTGCTTTCACCACTGGTGCGCGCGCGCACGCTCGCGAATATTAATCCGCGGAGTCATCGGGTCGAAATTACGTACGTCGTATGTTTCGTTAAACTCGGTTCGCTCTATCGGACGAGCGACGTTTCGATATCTCTCGATTTCCTTCCTCTTCCGGTCTTCGTCCCTCCCGTCGCGCGTTCCGTTCCGCGTCACGAGGGGAGATTAATTACGCGTCGGACATGAAACGAACGTACGTGGATATATCGACGGGATACCGTTGGCCCGTATAACGCGACTCCGAGTTAATTATTCGTTCGCGAGCGCTAATCGTTTGAAACGCGTTAAGCTTGTGCGTAATTTGCGCGCACCGTCGTTGATAGACGAGATACCGCGGCAAACGTTGCTATGCATTTTCGTTTCGTGGATCCGTGCGAATCAGTGAACGCCGAAAGGCCAATGTCAGCCTATCGTCTTTACTCAATACGAACAACGAAAAAGAAAGAAATACCTGCGGCCGTACTTAACACGATACTTAACGTTGAAGACGATTAGGAAGTGCGGACTGCGATTTATCTGATTCATCGGAATCTTAAGAATTGTCCATTTTACATTCGCGAAATATCGTGAAATATTTTTCATTTATTTTACGCAATGAGAAAAATCTCCCGTCCATATTTGGGCTCACGTTGACATTTTCATATACATACATATATGGAATTATTTATGGAACCGGATAGCGACTAGGCGCGTAATCGCGATGCCCGCACACCTCCCGCGGCTGTTTCCGTTTATCACCCCTTGTTCGCACCTACCGCAGTTTACAAAGTTCCGCTCGTGTAACGCGCCGCACCGTGCCGGTGGGAAGGGACGCGACGACGCGACGATCGGTGGCACTGTCGGACTCGACGAAGCGGCTGGATTCGAAGGGTCGGGGGTTGACGGAAAACCGGGTGGCAATGGTAGAGGCAGGGTGGATCGGTGACTAGACGGATAGATGGAAGGGGAGGGAAACCGGAGCGGCTCGATGGTTTCACAGCGCGTGCCGCTTCAGCGCCAGATGGCTTTCAAAGTACGAAAGGGAGGGAAAGAGACAGATAGAGAAAGAGAGAGAGTCGCGTCCCGGGTCCCCGCTCGGCGTACGTGCCCTCTTCTCGCCTGTTACCCCGAGGCAGGCGGGTGTACGGTTACGCGAGCGACAGCGAAGAAAGGAAACGGGACTTCGCCGACATCCAAATAGGTACGCCGCTTTTTCTCTTCTTTCACGCTCGTCCGTTTTCTCAAATTCTACGATGAATCCTTAATGAATTTTAGAGCGCGCCACGATTCGTGACCCGTAAGATCGCGTATCACGCGGAATTAAAAAGGAAAGGCTGGCGAACCGGTACGACGGAATATTCATTGGATTCCGGACACGCTTCACATATATTTTATATAATTTTACTTCTCTTTCTTTTTCGTTACGTATTCACTACTTTTGTTCTCATATAAACTAAACGAACGTTCCCGTTTATATCGTATTTTATAATTCATTTATCATTATTGTACATAGAAAATGTGGCGCGTTCTCTCTTTATCTTTAATGATTTCCATGCATCGCTACTACTTGAACTTGAGGGAATATGCCACATTTCCTTCCCGTGCGTGCGATCCAATGAATCACCTGTACATACGTGTAGTAAATATCCCAATTCGCTGGCGTCATATAAAATTATACGAAACGAGACAGTGAGTAAAATTCGTGACGCTACCAGAAATTGGAGGAATTACTATACAGGAATTCTCGCGGGCACGAAAAGACGCGTGCATCGCGGATGAAACGGAGCGGTGCACTCCGATTACTCGTCGTCGCAGGTTCGCGGTATCCCACACGTTTTTCGAGCGGACGATCTCGCTGAAAGCGCATAGCGGAATAAAAGCGCACGATGGGGAGGGGGCGCGAAGACGTACGAAGCGGCGTCGAGGGGATCGGCGTGGTTCGGCTCTTTAGTAGAGTACCAGCCGCCGTTGGTGTCGTGTCCGGGGTGGTCGATGCGCTCTCGTACACCACGCGAGAGAGAGGAAACGAGTGGCTCGTTGTTAACGATGGATTTTATACCGCGCGGTGCGTAACGGACGTCGCGGACGTGCTCCGCACCGTTCGGCGAACGAAAACGCGAAGCGCAAGCGTAGCGCGTGTCGTGGACAAAGGACGGCGATACCAACGCGGTTTAAAAGCGTCGCCGTCGCTCTTTCCTTCTCC